TTCACAATGCACTTTTCAAGAGTGAGTCCCACTGTTTGCAAATACTTCTGTGTGATATTAACTTGTTCTAGAACTTCACACCAGAAAGAAAGGTAACACAAAAAAGAAAAATCACATACGGCAGACAGCAACATCTGAGCAGATCCTCTTATGTCCACATTTTATTTGGGATTACACAATTTTTCAAAGCTGAAGTCAGTTTTTCAAAATTTGCCCTCACTGGCTTCACAGCATCATAATGAGCGCTCCATCTTGTTTGGGAAAATCTTTTCACTGTCACACCTAAATTCTCCATCAGCATTTCCCAACGATGTGTAGAAACCGAAAAAAAGGAATACACTCTCTCCAAGTTCAAAAAAAGGTCACACAGGAAGCAACACTTCCAAATGAGTGCACCCCACAAAGGTTCAGAGAATGGTTTGCACATGGCATAAACAAAGCCTTGGGATTAATCTTTTATTTTTGACCATGGCTTAAGTCTATTCCATCTTCCTCTAGATGTTGCAGGATATTTTCTGTGAGTTCAGCAGCAGTCTTTTAAGCAATAGGAAAGAAAGCCAAGAATGATTCCTTTACTTCAACTTTGTCACTTGCAACATAAACATATCTGATCACTTCACACATCTGATCAGTGTGGGACACATCAGGGGTGCTGTCAAAAGAAAATCCCAAAGTACGTTGCTTTCTTGATATCAGCCACCATTTTGTCCTTCATGTGATTTCCCAAAAGACAAATTAATTTGTTCTGAATTTTTGGAGAGATGCAAGAGCATGTTTCAGGCTCATGAAATGTTCCTTTAAAATGGGATCATAGTTTGAGAGCAATTCTACCAATTCCAGGAAGTTGCTTTTGTTTGCGAATGACATGGTCTCTCTATGATCACAAAAAGGAAGATTCTGGTGAGCCAGAAACAAAGTTACATCCAAGAGGCGATGCAAAATATCCCTTCATTTCCTTTCCTCTCGGTCCACTGTTGTTTGATGGACAAGATCAAGACATTTTTATAGCTTCAATCCTGCTCTCAAGGTGTTCCATTTCTCCAAGCATGTAAGATGCTGCTCAGGAGCCTCATGATAAGACACCTTCGGGTTCAGCTTCCACCACAATTGAAACCCAGTAACAAAACTGGATGCCCCGTTATTTTGTCATAAACAGCAAAAAGTCTGCAGCAAACACAAATCAAACTCCTTCAAAAAATCGTTAAAAACCCCACTTATTCATAAAAGCATATCAATTAAACTGTTAATAGCTCCTGACTGATTCCTCTTCTGCAACTGTCACTAGTCTAATACTATATTTACCTTTTTGTGTCATTTTACCCCACTCCCTCTAGCATGTAAGCTCATTGAGCAGGGCCCTCAACCCCTCTGTTCCTGTATGTCCAACTTGTCTTGTTACAACTACATGTCTGTTCGTCCACCCATTGTAAAGTGCTGCGGAATTTGACGGCGCTCTACAGGGAGTGCAGAATTATTAGGCAAATTAGTATTTTGACCACATCATCCTCTTTATGCATGTTGTCTTACTCCAAGCTGTATAGGCTCGAAAGCCTACTACCAATTAAGCATATTAGGTGATGTGCATCTCTGTAATGAGAAGGGTGTGGTCTAATGACATCAACACCCTATATCAGGTGTGCATAATTATTAGGCAACTTCCTTTCCTTTGGCAAAATGGGTCAAAAGAAGGACTTGACAGGCTCAGAAAAGTCAAAAAATAGTGAGATATCTTGCAGAGGGATGCAGCACTCTTAAAATTGCAAAGCTTCTGAAGCGTGATCATCGAACAATCAAGCGTTTCATTCAAAATAGTCAACAGGGTCGCAAGAAGCGTGTGGAAAAACCAAGGCGCAAAATAACTGCCCATGAACTGAGAAAAGTCAAGCGTGCAGCTGCCACGATGCCACTTGCCACCAGTTTGCCCATATTTCAGAGCTGCAACATCACTGGAGTGCCCAAAAGCACAAGGTGTGCAATACTCAGAGACATGGCCAAGGTAAGAAAGGCTGAAAGACGACCACCACTGAACAAGACACACAAGCTGAAACGTCAAGACTGGGCCAAGAAATATCTCAAGACTGATTTTTCTAAGGTTTTATGGACTGATGAAATGAGAGTGAGTCTTGATGGGCCAGATGGATGGGCCCGTGGCTGGATTGGTAAAGGGCAGAGAGCTCCAGTCCGACTCAGACGCCAGCAAGGTGGAGGTGGAGTACTGGTTTGGGCTGGTATCATCAAAGATGAGCTTGTGGGGCCTTTTCGGGTTGAGGATGGAGTCAAGCTCAACTCCCAGTCCTACTGCCAGTTCCTGGAAGACACCTTCTTCAAGCAGTGGTACAGGAAGAAGTCTGCATCCTTCAAGAAAAACATGATTTTCATGCAGGACAATGCTCCATCACACGCGTCCAAGTACTCCACAGCGTGGCTGGCAAGAAAGGGTATAAAGAAGAAAATCTAATGACATGGCCTCCTTGTTCACCTGATCTGAACCCCATTGAGAACCTGTGGTCCATCATCAAATGTGAGATTTACAAGGAGGGAAAACAGTACACCTCTCTGAACAGTGTCTGGGAGGCTGTGGTTGCTGCTGCATGCAATGTTGATGGTGAACAGATCAAAACACTGACAGAATCCATGGATGGCAGGCTTTTGAGTGTCCTTGCAAAGAAAGGTGGCTATATTGGTCACTGATTTGTTTTTGTTTTGTTTTTGAATGTCAGAAATGTATATTTGTGAATGTTGAGATGTTATATTGGTTTCACTGGTAATAATAAATAATTGAAATGGGTATATATTTGTTTTTTGTTAAGTTGCCTAATAATTATGCACAGTAATAGTCACCTGCACACACAGATATCCCCCTAACATAGCTATAACTAAAAACAAACTAAAAACTACTTCCAAAAATATTTGATATTAATGAGTTTTTTGGGTTCATTGAGAACATGGTTGTTCAATAATAAAATTAATCCTCAAAAATACAACTTGCCTAATAATTCTGCACTCCCTGTATAAATATAATAATAATAATAATAATAATAATAATAATAATAATAATTAGGCAGAGCCTTATAGAACCATGCAGTGGTCAGCTGTCGTCTCTTCCCTTTTGGTTTCTCTCCTTGCCTTTCAACAGGACTGAATGGCCCATCTCTATTTTGGAAATGTTCACTTTCCTTCTTAATAAGGTCCACTTTGAAAACATTTGGAACTGGAACTGGAACTGGCCAAGCAGCAACATCAGAATAAACTGACAGTCGAAAAGTCTCCTCTTTTTCTTCATCATCAGAGTCTTGCTGATGCAGGCTTCTGCTGGCATCTCCTTAATCCAAATCACTTTCACCGCTTGAAGATAACATGATCTTCTCCAATTCTTGTGCTTTCACATATGAAGCTTCTGAAGAAGGTAATTCAGGAATTTCATCTCTCGATTCACCAGACTGAATGTCTTTAGCACTTTCTTTTACTGCGGTAGATGTTGAAGTCGCAACATATTTTAAAATTGATCCAGACATCGCCTCAGCTGACTTTTCTCTTGCCTTTTTAATTTTTCGTTGCTGAGACCCGCTTGGTTGATTTCGCTTCATATTGATGTTTTCTGCAAAAAATCTACATTTATTTTGGTTCTAGGGTTCATTAGTGCAATATCTGTCTTATATTTCCCATCTTGGCATACCATTTGTAAAAGTAGACAACCCAGGGTATTTAAAATTGGGTATGTCCAATTTTTTTTAGTAGTCACAAATGGTGGGCAAACCTAGTGTTCACATTTATTTATTTTTGCATTTTGCATTCTCACAAAAACTGCACTTTCACTAATATCAAAATTACACAGTTTACGGTTTTCAAAACACTCATATTTGTGTTCAGCAATATCCCAGGGGTACAGCAATATAAAACAAATTAAATATATATATTTTGTAGCAGGCTGGCCGGGTCTTGGGTTATTAACAACAGAAACAGTTCTTTCTTCCAATATGATGGAAGCTTTATTTAGCAAGCAGGCAATTGAGCCGCAGCAAAACATGAGAACCAAAATAAACACCTACTCCACACTGGAGACTAACTAACATATATTACCCTTTCTATGCTACTGGGCAGCTAAGCTGACCCCAGTAGTTTAACAAATAAAAATAAAAGCTTGCAAAATACCTTTTTGTTCCGACAGTTTCAGCAGTCTTTTTGACTCACAGTCTCTCTGTCTCCGCAGTCTCTTCAGAGGAGAGACTGATTTCCCTCTGCATAGGGTTTATGTAGCTCCCTAATTGATGTACTAGAGCAACCTGATTTTTAACCCCCTCTAGTCAGGGAACACTGAAAGTGCCATTCTGGGGCTAATATAGCAGTGTTCCCTCACACTGCCACATATCCTTCCCCCCAGCGGAACATAACAGGGTGGAGCGGCCGTGACATAGCGACTATGCACTCTAGACAATGCATCTGTGTTAGCATGCAGGAGGCCGGCTCTATGTTTCACTACAAATTTATAGGGCTGAAGGGAAAGGAACCATCGGGTAACCATTGAATTTTTTTTCCTTGTTTCTCTGCATCCATTGTAAAGGAGCATTGCCAGTCACTAGAGTAATGACCCAACAAATAATACTTCAAGGACTCCACAGCCCACTTGATGGCCAGGCATTCTTTCTCTACCACAGCGTAATTCCGTTCCCTAGGCAGCAGTTTACGACTAAGGTAGAAAATAGGATGTTCCCTACCCCCTACATACTGTGACAATACTGCTCCAAGACCCACCTCTGAAGCATCAGTCTGTAGAAAGAATTGCTCATTAAAGTTTGGGGCTATTAAAACTGGATGACAGCATAGGGCCGTCCTCAAATTTGTAAAAGCCATTTCGGCTTCCCGACTCCACTGAACAATTTCCGGTCCCCTTGCTCTTGTCAACTCAGTTAAGGGCGAAGCTAGGGTGGCAAAAAGGGGTATAAACCGCCTGTAGTATCTGAAAATACCAAGAAAAACCCTAACCTGTTTTTTACTCAAGAGACAGGGCCAATTTTTAATGGCAGCTATTTTATTAATTTGAGGTTTGACCATGCCTCGTACTATAGTATATCCCAAGTACTTAACTTCCGGATATACTAGTATACATTTGGCAGAATTAACAGTGAGATCTGCAGCCCTCAATGTATCCAGTGTCTAAGTGAGTTTCCCAATCCTGGCTGTAGATAACTAGATCATCTAAGTAAGCAGAGGCATACATGGAATGGGGTCTTATTCATCAACCTCTGGAAGGTTGCAGGGGCCCCGTGTAAGCCAAATGGCAACATTGTATATTGAGAAAGACCCTCAGGAGTCACAAAAGCAGTTTTGTCCTTAGCAGATTCAGACAGGGGAATCTGCCAATAACCTTTAATAAGGTCAAGACAACTCAGATACCTAGCCGGGGCCAATTTCTCGACAAGTTCGTCTACCCTAGGTAAAGGATATGCATCAAATTTAGTACACTCATTGAGTGTCCTGAAGTCATTACAAAAACGTAGTTAGCCATCTGGTTTTGGTACCAGGACAATGGGGCTCGGCCACTGACTATTAGACTCTTCAACAACCCCTAATTTCAAAATGTTTGCAACTTCAGCTGCTATTGCCTGCCTTTGTGCTTCTGGGTCTCTATACGGTTTTGACTTTGCAATTATTCAAGGGTCTGTTACAATCTCATGGACTATTGCATTAGTCCTACCTGGGATGGCAGAGAATATGTCTGCATTCCTTAATAGCAGCTCTCTGACCTAACTCTGCTGCTCAGGAGTAAGTTCAGTAGAGATTTTTACTTCTGGAACAAGTGTGTGGACCTCTACGGTGGGTGTCCCAAATAATACACAGGTCTCTCTAGCTTGTTCCCTTCCAAATTTTAAACAACTGCGCATGCATTCAGTCTGCTGTTCCACATCTTTCTCTACTGAAGGTGTGGCATCAGCACTTGTGCCTGGAATCTCATCTTGATCATTATTAAGCTCATTAATCAGGACCTCACGTAAACGATGTGTACATCTGTACTTATTTCTCCTTCCTCTCTTTGACTTGCGGTTTTTTCTTTCTTTAACAAACAAGTCAGGGTGAGTAATGGGAAAACACTACAGGGGCTGTCACTTGCCAACTCCAATGGATTGGGGGTTACCTGCTTCTGCACCAAGGTTCTAAAGTCAGGGAAATCACGACCCAACACCAAGGGCTAGGGTAACTTGGGGACTACTGCGGCTTCAGTCCTTACGGACCGACCTTATGTCAACTATTGTCTTAGCATATTCCACAGTAGAACCATGAATACAATGTACTCCCACTTTTTCCCTGGATAACAATTGATCAGGTTCTATCAGACTCCGTGCAATTAAGGTAATATTACTCCCTGAATCCTCAATAGCCTCTACAACCTTCCCATTTATAATTACTTGTATATAAAAAAAAAACACTGGTTTCTCCTGAAATTCCCACTAAACACCCAAGTCCACAAAAGGTCTTGTTGGTAGTAGCATTTCCACATTCCATTGGTTCCTGTAGTTGTGGACAGCGAGCCTTTACATGTCCAGGCTGCTCACACTCAAAGTAGATTATGGGAACAGGGCGATGCGGCAGGTCTTTGTGAGTCTGGGATTCCTTGAAGCTATGTCCGAGTTTATTGGGACCCAAAGCTCCATTTCCAGACTGTGGTAGTTGATCCGACCTCCATGTCTTTGGGGGTTGGGGTAACTTCAACGTCTGGTTTCTGACTTGAGGTGGAGCCTTTAGTGCTTTTACAGCTATATAGCGTTCCACTATGGTCACCATCTCATCATAGGTGGTCCCATCCACTGGAGTAATTCAAGTGGTAAATCTCACAAAAATTTGTCCAGGACCAGGGTCTCAATTATTTGTGCTGGTGTGAAGAGCTTTCTCGGGTAAGCCATTTATTCGCCAAATGTATTAAGTCAAACAGTTGGGGCCAGTTCTTGGGGCCTTTTGATCCTGATATGTCCAACTGTGATATCTTTGGGCCCTGACTGCCGGTGTCACATCATTTCTGGCTAGAATCTCAGCCTTAAGACAGTCGTGGTCATCGGCAGCCTCTTCCCCCAGATCAGTATATGCTTTTTGTGCTTCTCCCAGAAGGAAGGGTGCAAGGATACCAGCCCATTTTCCCCTGGGCCACTGTTTCCTGGCTGCAGTCCTCTCAAAAGCAAGGAGGTAAGCTTCCACATCATCATAGGGAGTCATCTTTTGTATATACTGGTTTGCCTGGAGAGACTTTTAAACACCGCTGGGCTCTTCTTTGTCAGGTTTTGAGAGACTGTGTACTATCTCTTTAAGTACACAATGGTCAGCATGTTGTCCCTCTACCACTGCAGTAAGCTGTGCTGCCAGCTAGTGGTTGCTTTCTTGCAGGGCTTGATTGGTTTCTTGCTGCACAGCAGTAGCTTGTAATAAACCTTTTAATGCATCCTCCATTGCAGCAATGTCCCTCTACCACTGCAGTAAGATGCTGCCAGCAAGCGGTTGCTTTCTTGCAGGACTTGATTGGTTTCTTGCTGCACAGCAGTCAGGGGTGGACTGACCACTGAGCATATCGGTCATGTACGATCGCCAATCAGTGGCCCGGCCGCACAGCCATGCTCCAGATCTCTCCAACTGAACAGCAAAAAATAATAAAACTATTTAATTGATAGGTCGTGGGGCCCCTGATGCAGTGGGAACCATAACATACCGCTCTGCAAGTCCCCCCAATGAGACCTGGCAGCTTCACCGCCCTCTGCCAGGTCTCCTTCCTGTCCCATGCGGCTCTGTGTGAAGAAGAGAGGTGGGGCTAGGAAGTGACATCACTTCCTGTTTACTCCTTTCACACAGAGCCCAGCGAGGGGAAGGAGCAGCAGCCTGGGACAGAAGAGGAAACAGAGAGACAGGTAGGCACTAGTCACCCTCCCGTCACTAGTCACCCCTCCTCACTGTCAATAGTCACCCCTTCTCACTGTCAATAGTCACCCCCTCACAGTGTCACTAGTCACCCCTCTCACAGTGTCACTAGTCACCCCCCCACTGTGTCACTAGTCACCCTCCCACTGTGTCACTAGTCACCCCCTCCCTCACTCTGTTACTAGTCACCCCTTCCCTCACTCACTCTGACAGAGTGAGGGGGTGCCAGGTGCCAGAGGGAGGGACAGAGGGGGTGACTAGTGACAGAAGGAGGGAGGGAGTAGTGACAGAGGGAGGTGGTGACTAGTGACAGAGTGAGGGAGGTGGTGACTAGTGACAGTCACCCCCTCCCTCACTTCGTCACTAGTCACCCCTTCCCTCCCTCACTCTGTCACTAGTCACCCCCTCACTCTAGTGACAGAGTGAAGGAGGGTGTGACTAGTGACAGAGTGAGGGAGGGAATGGGTGACTAGGGACAGAGGGAGGGGTGACTAGGGACAGAGTGAGGGAGGTGGTGACTAGTGACTAGTGACAGTCACCACCTCCCTCACTCTCACTATTCATGACCTCCCTCACTCTGTCACCAGTCATCCCCTCACTCTGTCACTAGTCACCCCTTCCTTCCCTCACTCTGCCACTAGTCACCCCTTCCCTCACTCTGTCACCTGTCACCCCCTCACTCTAGTGACAGAGATAGGGAGGGTGTGACTAGTGACAGAGTGAGGGAGGGTGTGACTAGTGACAGAGAGAGGGAGGTCACCCCCTCCCTCACTCTGTCACTGTGTCACCCCCTTCCTCACTCTGTCACTGTGTCACCCACTCCCTCCCTCACTCTGTCTTTAGTCACCCCCTCTCTCACTCTGTCACCAGTCATCCCTTCCTTCCCTCACTCTGCCACTAGTCAAACCTTCCCTCACTCTGTCACCAGTCATGCCCTCACTCTGTCACCAGTCACCTCTTCCTTCCTTCACAGTGACAGAGTGAGGGAAGGGGTGACTAGGGACAGAGGGAGGGAGGGGTGACACAGTGACAGAGTGAGGGAGCGGGTGACACGGTGACAGAGTTAGGGAGGGGTGACACAGTGACAGAGTTAGGGAGGGAGTGACTAGTGACAGAGAGGGATGGGGTGACTAGTGACAGAGAGAGGGATGGGGTGACTAGTGACAGTCACCCCCTCCCTCACTCTGTCACTAGTCACTACCTATCTCTGTCACCAGTCATCCCCTCACTCTGTCACTAGTCACCTCTTCCCTCCCTCACTCTGCCACTAGTCACCCATTCCCTCACAGAGGGAGAGGGGGTGACTAGTGACAGAGTTAGGGAATTTTCGTGGAATTACCCGTTCGTATGCCCCTGTTCAGTGAATTGACTTTTCCACCGAACAAAACTACCGAACGGACGACCACCCAGAAGAGAAGTGTGCGGCTGGTTATCTTCATGATACCAATTAGAACGTTTTGGTTAACCACAGACACTTCTCAATTAAAACCGAATACAGGGTGGTCACCCATTCCCTAACTCTGTCACTAGTCACCCCCTCTCCCTCTGTCACTAGTCATCCACTCCCTCACTCTGTCACCAGTCACCCCCACTCACTGTGTCTCCCCCTCACTCTGCCACCACTCAACCCCTCCTTCCCTCACTCTGCCACCAGGTACCCCCTCACTCTGCCACCTGTCACAACCTCCCACACTCTTCCACCTGTCACCTTCTCCCTCACACACACTGTCACCTGTCACATATGCATTCACACAGACACTATATACAAAAAAAGCACATGTAGTCATCCAGACATGCACAAGTGCATTCACACAGACTCAAATACAAACATGCATTGATACACAGGTCTTCACAATATACACATCCAAAAGAAATGCCGTATTATGAGTTATATTTAACATTTATTTAATGCACATATATTTGGCCTTCAAAGGGCCTGGGATCTAATTTTGCCCGGGGGCCCCAAAGGCTCTCAGTCCGCCCCTGACAGCAGTAGCTTGTAATAAGCCATTTAATACGTCCTCCATTGCAGCAAAAACACTTTCACGCTATATGGCTTTATATTTCCTCAGGGTCTGTACTGGTAAGGTTTTCAGTACACAAACATCCCACTTCTGACACCACTTGTAGCAGGCTGGCCGGGTCTTGGGTTATAAACAACAGAACCAGTTCTTCTCTTCTAATATGAGGAAAGCTTTATTTAGCAAGCAGGCACCAATTGAGCCACAGCATGTAGCGGAGAGCTGGTCTTTCACAGGTTAACTCCACTAAAGATCCCAGTGAGGCTCAGGAACAAGTAATAAAATACCATAGAATAATAATCACAGCAAGCAAGGTAATCCACAAATATCCCCATACAGATCCCAATGACTGGACGACACACAGCATCAGGAGCAGAACTGAACTTTTAATCACACAACCTTCTTTTAAAGCTTTCTCCCATGCAAGGGAGGGATTCACATTAATTATTACAGTAGCCAATAGTGTAACAGTTACCTCCCACACATCTCCTCCCCTCAGTGTGACTCATAATCCCATTAAACATACTGTAGTTTTCCCCGATTTCTGGATGTACCCCAAAACAGGCAGATAGATTGATATACTGGGTACCGCCTTGTAACCCAGATCTGGGTGAACAACATATTAAAAATTCACCCAGATCGGACCAGGGGTTTGGGAGTTAGATGGAAGGAGAAATTTGACCGACCGCATACAAGGTAGTATCCGAAAAAGGCTCCATGTGTTTTGGCCCTGCGGTCGGTCTCCGTTCAGTAGTTAAAACACACAGAAATACTTGCCATGCACAGCTAATCTCATATTTGTTTGTATTCCCTTGTTTGGTACATTTATTTTACCGAATGAGGGGCTGACTGGCCCCTCCGTTCGTGAGTTATGGAGCTCTGGAGGTCTCATCGGTGTTTGGGTGTTTGAGTGTCCGATTTGAGTTCCAGACACTCGACAACCAAACACCGCTGAGATTTTCTTGCGTAAAATGACCGCCGCCACGCGGACCACACAGATACACATAAAGTAGCAATTTCACGGTCAATTAAGCTGCGGTTACAGAGTGTGAAAGCTTAACGAGGTACACACTTCTCACTGGGGTGGTCTGATAGTTCGGTAGTTTCATTCGTATGAAAACGGAAGGAAAACTACCGAACAAGCAGACAAAAGCTACATACACTTATAGTTATACATGGGAATAATTGCACAAATACATTTTTACGACGAATTCTTGAAGGCAGCCCAATGCCATCCGCTACACAGCAAAGCATGAAAACCAAAATAAACACTTACTCCACACTGGAGACTAACTAACATAGAGTACCCTTTCTATGCTACTGGGCAGCTAAGCTGACCCCAGTAGTTTAACAAATAAAAATAAAAGCTTGCAAAATACCTTTTTGTTCCGACACAGTTTCAGCAGTCTTTTTGACTCACAGTCTCTGTCTCCGCCCCAGCTCTTCACAGGAGAGACTGTTTATGTAGTTCCCTAATTTATGTACTTGAGCAGTGTGACTGATCCATCTGTATAGACTAAGATTTCTGGTTCGTCTGTTTTGCCTTTTCGTGGAATTACCCGTTCGTATGCCCCTGTTCAGTGAATTGACTTTTCCGCCGAACAAAACTACCGAACGGACGGCCACCCAGAAGAGAAGTGTGCGGCTGGTTAACTTCATGATACCAATTAGAACGTTTCGGTTAACCGCAGACACTTCTCAATTAAAACCGAATACAGGGTGGTCGTCGTTCGTATGTCGACCACGAGGCAGCAGCCATTTTAAACCATGCGAAAGACCATTGAATTCATAGAACTGAAAATGGACACTTTTTCAGCCAAACACCGCTGAAGCCGCTGACCTCCCTTCTCAATCGACAGATGTAGCGGAGATGCAATATTCCCCAGGTTATCTCCGCTTAGAATCCAAATGAGGCTCAGTAACAAGTAAATAGTAAATCCACAGGCAAGGTTTCCAGCAGGTAAAATAACAGCAATATCCCAACTGTTTCAGGAGCAGAACTGAAATCTTTAATCCACACTGTCCTTTTAAAGCATGCTCCCATGCAAGGGAGGGATTTACAATCATTAGTACAGTAGCCAATCCTGTCCTGGTAACCTCCCACACATCTCCTCCCCTCAGCCTGCATCATAATCCCCTTATCCAGTCTAGCAATTCCCCCCGTTTCTGGATGTACCCCTAAACGTAGAGGTACCCCTTTAAATCCTACACCCCCTGATAGCCCTGATCTGGGTGAACAACATATCCAAAAATCACCCAGATCAGACCAGGGGTTCGGGAAATTTATGGAGGGAATAAAATGACCGAGTGAGACAGCCGAATGCGGTTCCATGCGAATGGGCCCTGCGGTCGGTCCTGGAGTAAGGGAACAAACTGCACGAAAGCCTCTAGCTATAGAGGCTATGGAGGGTTCACCTGAATCCCCTCATTCGGTTCTATCTACCGAACGAGGGGCCGTTCGGTAGTTAGGAACCGAACGGACCGAGCTTGTGGAGGTTTCAGCGGTGTTCGCCTAGTCGAGTGTCCGATTTGAGTTCCAGACACTCGACGGTTCAGGAGTTTTAAAATGGCCGCCGCCACGTGTTCGTTTGTCGAATGGCGGCCACCCCCGAGAACAAAGGACGGCTACTTCTCTTGCCAATTACCCATTCGCAACAATGTTGCAACGGATAATTGAGAACACACTTCACACAGGGGAGGTCTGACTGTTTGGTAGTTTCATTTGAACAAACTAAGGGAATGAAACTACCTAACATTCAGACAAATCCAATACATCAAATACATAGACTTTGCCATTTTCATACGAATGCATAGAAGTACATAAATTGCTCAGGACAGCACAGGGCCATCCGCTACAACAGAAGTATGCGAACACCGGCCATTCGGGAGGTTTAAACACATGGATGGACTTACCCCAGATAGCCTTCCCATGGAGTCAATCGCATGCCGAAAGACTGTAATAGACTTTGACTCCATGGCGATTGAACTATGCGTATGGGACCTGAGCGCTTTTCGCCAATAATATGCACTCAGATCCAGGCTATCTGGGGATATGTGATACGAATGGGTAACATTCGACAAATGTAAAGTTATGTATTTTTATATGTTTTTCTGTGTTGAATTTAAAAATGGCGATTTGCCGCTGTCCTGGAGATAATTGAATTACTCCTCAATTATCTCCAGGGCAGAGGGGAGGAAATACTAATGCATGATGGGAATATTCTGTGTCTGTGGGTCCTAACCTGCCATATGTCTGTCTATTGTTACAGTCTCCCATTTGGTTCCCTAGGGGACTGTCCACCAAATGGGAGACCTGCATAAATACGGGCAGGTATCCCACAGTAAAGCCAGTTCATGTTTTACCCTCAATGCGGAGCTTGGTCTTGTTATTGGGGGGGATTTATTACCGATGACTAGAGACTGCTGGACGGGATTATCAACCGCTTGGGAGACATATGCGTTCGGCTACTATTGGCGATTCGTGAGTTTGGAGCTCGTGAAGGGAAGTGCCCGTACGGATCCCGTTCATGAGTTTACAGTGTTCCCTTGCTTGCGGTTCGCATGAATGTACTGGATACGCATGCAGCCTATGCTATTGCGAGAGGGGAGAATTCACTAAACGGCGGTTTGTACATTTAATGCTGAGGGTACCGTAACAAGCAGTACTTGAGCAACCTGGTTTTTAACACCCCATAGTCAGGGAACGCTGAAAGTACCATTTCAGATTTATTTATTATTTAGTTCTAATTTAATTTTATATTTCATTATTATTTTAAGCGTTGAGGGTGTGCCTGAAAACCCAGGCGGGTTCCTCTGCAGGCAGTGATTTAAACTGCTGATACGGATTTAGGCTGGATTTGCAGGAGGGGGACCCCTTGTGTTGTTGGACAGGATAGGGATCCTTGCAGAAGGTAAGTATCTGGGCTCCCTACAGGACTTGGTCGTTAGTGCGTACTATGCCACCCTAACGTGTTTAAAGATCTAATTTTGCAGGACGGCACAGTACGCCTTAAAGGCGTTAATGGGTTAAACACATTTCTAGGAACTGTATTGCTATAAAATGTAATACATTTATAAATACCAAACATCTTGAAAAAAGAGAAACAGCATAGAAAAGGGATTTGGGTTCAAAAGATGGAGCGGCTAGGGCAGACGTTTT